ACAATAGACAATAGACCTAGCCATAGCTCTGGAAGCCCGTTTCAGACACGGCCCTCTGGCAGAAGAGGTAGAGGTAGAGGTCTGTTGTAGAAATAAAAGCACTGGGCTTCCACTGGACAAACTTCACAGTGATACAAATCTAAAACAGCACTGTGGTGGCTGTGTCCTTGAGCAGGACATTTCGTTGCAATTGATTTTCCATGGCAGGAAGAAATTTGTTCCTTTTTATGTGTCAAGCCTTCCTCGCGTTGGTTTATTGAGCTCCTAACTGTTTCTTATTACAACCATAACAGGAAGCAGTGGTTCAGGCCACAGCCAAGACCACAAGGAGCGGAAGGGCCGAAGTAAAGGTAGCTCTGGCAGCGAATCGGACGCCACGTCGATTATCAGCCGGTCGACAGCACGGGGCGACTTGCCAATGCGTGGAGAGGGGTCCCTGCGAGGCGACACACCCCCCATGTCCGTCAACTCCATGCCCCTGGGCGGGGCAATTGCCCCGCCGATGGGCCAGATGACAGGTATCGGGCCGGTAGCGGGACCCAGCCCGACCCCCGCCCTGGCCGGCAGCGCCGTGGGCCCCCTGCTGCCCCCCATGAGCCAGGCTGTGCCCCCGATGGGCCTGGGGCCCGTCCAGCACACAGTGCCCATGCCCAGGCCGCTGGGCACGATGCCGGAGGACTTATCAGGCAGTAGGCAGTCCTTCCGGATGGCCATGGGTAATCCCTGTGAATTCTTTGTGGATGTCATGTGAAGGTTCGGGTGGGCAGGGTGGGGCTGGTGGGCGGGGCTGGTGGGTGTGGTCAGGGTGTGGTCAAAACCTTGTCTGGTCAAAGTATCGTGCGTACACTTGTTGATGCCTTGTCCTCCTGTCACCCATTCATTTTCATGTCTTGTCTCCACCCTCTGCATGTCATTTTCTCTTCTGTCGCCCACTTCATAGAGCTGCCTATTACACAGAAAACAAAGCTCCTCCTCCAAACAAGCTCAGCAGTACTTTTTTTTTCTTTTACTTGGCATGAAGCCCCGCCCTCTGGGCATCCTAACTGATGTAGTGCATTTTGTTTTTGCTGGTAGTTGTTCAAAAGTAACCCCGCTATATTTTGCTTAGTGAGTTGTCCCGCTAAATTTTCAGTTCAGTTTCATTTTCTTACCTATTTTGCTGTTGTCGTATTATTTTTTATTCGTGCACATTTGCCTGCCAAAATGCCGCTGCTTGAGTAAAGTTCTGGTTTAACCTTTTTTTTTTTAACCTTCCGACACTGTGTTTCCGGAATGCCATTTGTGATATATTAATCAAAAATTCTGTCACAGAAGTAACAGCAGTACTGTGTAAATTAGACACCTACATATTTTTACTGGGCTGCTAACCCTAACAATTTTGCTAAGCAGAAACTGTTAATCTGATTGAAATCTGATAATCGGGAATGTGCACCAACATGGAGATTTTTGCCTGTTAATCTGTTTTACTTAACCACGTGTAAGATACCCAAAAAGAAAGTCTTGCTGAGCAAATAAACTCTCTCAGCCTGAAACAAAAGGCCGGCTATCATGCAAAAAGCAGGAAGCGGTGTGCCCTGGTACTAGCAGGGAACCAGTCATATTTGCTAAGCAAAAGACGAATCTGCTGAGCTAAATTCTTCTGCTGTGGCAGCTCTCTGAAAAACTGGGCGCCTGGTCTCTTTGGTCTCATCCCTATTTTTTTTTTTGTCTTTCTTTTCTTGTCTCCATCTCACTTCCAGGGCTTGCACAGGCCAGCGAGATAGCAAGAATGTAACCCTTGTTGCCGGGGAGACCACAAGGTAATAGAGAGAGAAAAACTATGTCGGCGGACCAGCCCCCCTGCTGTCTCTCACTCTTTCTCTCTGGACACTCTACCCCCCCCAAAAAAAAATCCCGGAGAAAGTTCAATTGAAATCTGCTTGTGCTGCGGTAGTTGCATAGAACTCAAGCTTGGAGAACGAATGCTGTCGGCCCAATTTTTTATTTTTTTTTCAGGACGTGGACCATTTTTAAACATCTGTCACACTTGAGAGTCTAACATTCCACACAGTGGCATTTAAAATTCCAACCCCCCCCCAAATCATTCAAAATTCTGCCCACAAATGATGCTTCTGCAGCCCTGTCATCTTTCTCTTTCTGTGTTGTTACCCCCCAACCCTGTGTCGTCTTTGTCGTACCTGAAGGTATCCACGTTTTTTCTGTGAGTGTCCTGTTTGTCCTGTTGCGTTTCCTCCGTTCCTCTTCACTTTTCCTTGCGTTTGGAGTGAGACTCACTCATTTCATGTAGTGCGGCAGTAGAGGGCGCTTTTTGATACCCGCACACGCAGCCCTTTTGCCGCTCTTGCAGAACTGTGCACAAGAGGGCAAAGGTCAAAATGTGTACCCGCTGTCCCATCGCACTGTGCCGTGAATGGAATCATTTTGGGGGGTTGTTACGGGATCGTATTTCATCCGCTTGGCAGCCTAACAGCAATGATCAGAGACTCTTGTTTAATTGCACTTCAGTCCACCACAGTAGAATCATATTCCAATAATCACTAGCGTCATTTGTAGGATGCTTGTCTTCAGTGTCCAGCGTGGAATTTTCTGACGCACTCCATGATGGAAGGCGCGTCACAACGCAAGTTGGCACGCCTTTTCCTCGGCTGGAAAAATGAAGACTCCAATGTGCCCTCAGCTGCCGTGTTGCATATAGCCCTTGCCCCAGTTGGGGGGTCGGGGGGGGAGTAATTTATGTACATTTGGCCCTCTTGGACAAAACGTCTGGGACCAATAACTGGTACCCACAGGTATTCGTGCAGGAAAGCAGTGCAAAATGGTGAGAACACCACATGGCCACCGACTCGATGTATTTATGTGACTTGTCATGCCTTCTGCAAATAAACCGTTGTAAATTTTGTTGTCTGACAGAAAGAGCACATGCAACTATTCACAAAGTATTCAAGTTAGTTTGGGGGAAAAAAGGGAAAAAATGACGAGGCATCTGTATTTAAGATTAATTCAGTGGTGTGTCAGTGCAGGATGATGTGTGTTAGCCGTGTACAAAAGTGTATTATTTAAACAGGATAATAAGTGTTGAAGCTGTGGTTCTTCTAAGTGTCTTTTTTTTTTCACAAGACTGAGTAAACAAAACAAGTTGGGTTTTTTTTTGTGAGTGTTGTTGGGGGAGATAAGTTGTGAGGTTTTCATTGTTAAGGTCGCACAAGTTCACGCTATTCATGCGAGTACATGCAGTGGAATGGTTTGTAATGCCGCAAAAATGATTGGACGTTACTGGCAAGGATCGCACAGGTATTCATCCCGAGCTCCATTTGTCGGAAATGCCCTGCTTTAAGTGGAATCTGTTTTCTGTGGCCACCTTTCTGTTAATGCCCTGATATGTGGTGAAACCAAAGCGTAGCCAATTGTGAAGTAGCATGGTACCCACGAAAAAGTGCCCCAGTTTGTCGTTTGTCTTGACCTTGGCACAAGACCAAGATGGCCACCGCAAAGGTCATTCAGTTCAGCAGTGCATATAACTGTAGTTTATCTGCTCCTGTTTTTTTTTTTGGCTGATTAATTTCTTTAAACAAATCCACCATGATTTTTATGAGTAAAACGATGATTCAATCATGTACGTGCCATTTTTAGATATGTATTCTCTTTTACAACAAATCTTGTTCTGGCAACTTACAGACACAACTTTCTTTTTTTTTAATTACAACTTGTCCAGAAGAGGACGAAAAAACATCAATCAAGTTTTTACTACGTGTGATTGGATATAGAAATTGTACATGTCTAATTGTATTCAATAATATTCAATTAATGTCAGCAAATTTTGAATTGAAAATTGTCAGTTTTGTTTTAGATTTTTTTTTTTGTAATTAAGAAAAAAATCAGTATTTGTAATTATGATAATGCACATTGTATTTCATAAATGATGTGTAGAGTCGAGATGCAAAAAGTGATTTTTAGCCCAGTGGTTTTGCCCTTGACCATCTTCAGTACTATCTGGTGCAAAACAGAGTTTCCAGACGGGGGGGAAATTTTCCTAAGATGTGTGTGGGAGTTTTTAAATCACTCCCTTCATCCGATCTGGGAAAAACCAAAAATTTTGATCCAGTACTTGGACGTAGACGCACACCATTGTTTATGAAAGGAATGAAGCCACACATTCAGTGGTACTTCAGTGGCCAACCTCATGTGAAAAGAATTTGCCAAAAGTTATGTTTGTGACATCTGTATTCGCTGTAACGCTTAGATGGTTACCGGCACTGTAAATATATAGCTGTTAGAAAGGGGGGGGGGTGCGTATGTTAATGGATCGGACTGTATGTTGACTTTGTTGTAAGATTCCCCCCCCCCGACGAAGCACCCACAGACACAGTGTCCCAACAGGTTTGAGTTGCAACACGGTCCTCTTCTTATCAGTGTAGAAAAGCATGTTTTTTATATGTTTAATGTAAATACTTGTTTAGATTTTGTTTTAAATAGGAAAAAATCATAAACCTGTGTTACTTTTGAAGTCCTATTTATTGGGTAATTTACAAACGCGTTTTAATATATGTAGGACCATTTTACCAGGGCGGGATCGAATAACGTAATTCTAATGATGGGGTGTATAGAACTTGTGGAATTCTTCGGAGTGAGTGACAGTGGCATATGTTCCAGTATATCCAAAGAAAATCAGATGTACTCTTTAATGGGGGGGGGGGTTGTCGGACAGACATGGTCTCCGAATGTGCGTTAACCAGTGGCCATCGTTTCGCTGAAAATCCGCCGCCCTGCTCGTCGAATCATCTTTAACACAAGCGACATTACTTGATTATTGTAAGATAGCTTTTCAAAAGATATCTGTCAACTGCCAATCATGCTAGGGTTTTTATGTTCTAATAGTTTTTGGCTTTTTTTTAACTTGCGGGCAATTTTTGGTCTGTTTTAAACGAAGAGCAAGTGTTATAGAAGTAGGTTTGCAAAGATAGTAGTACTGAAGGAAAAAACTGTACTGTAGATCCCGTATCATATTCTACGTGTGTGAGTTAAATGTTCGGGTTGATGTATGTTCCTTTTCTCTTCCATCGAAAAGGTAGTGTAGTTCCACGCTGACAGCAAGATGACCACATTTTCAAATCATGGTTTCTTTGATTGGCTCTATGGCGGTTCCGCTGTAAACCCCCCTCCCGTGAGTCTTGCGAATTGTCACCGCTTGAGTGAACCATTTACCTCCGAACAAAGGCAACGGGAGCTTCAATCTGTATTATGTTGTCGTTTGACATCAACCACTTTTCCTGAGTGCCATCTCATAGATATGTCTGATACGTTGTGTTGTCCCTATCAAGGTTTTCAGTTCAACAAGGTGCGAGAATTTTCTCCAAGTCACCGAGGAGAAAGGAACCCACCATTCCGTAGTTTGACTTGGGTAATTTCATGGTGCTGCTGTCATTTTCTGCCGAGAAGCTCTGACAAATTAGTCCAAAAGATGCAGGAATAAACTCCCACAAATCGCGCCATTCCCGTACTACACCGTGGATTTTTTCTCTCTCTCAATTAGTCACCAAGCATGGGCCATGTCTTGAATGTGTCGAATATAGCTTGATGTGCTCGAGTTGTCGGTAAGACACCCATTTGCCTATCAAATAGGATAAAAGGAACACACATCGACCAGTATTATGTTGAAGCCCGGATGTGTTCACCAAAGACGTAACAAACAATTTTAAGAAAGGAAATAGGCTTATAAATGGCCTTGCCTGTTTTTTTGTTCAGTTTTATTCATTTTTTGTAAAGTAATTATGACGTAGTTATGAGCTCGGTATCTGAGTAAAAAGTAAACACGATAAAAACAAAACCTGTGTGGAGTGTGGTTATTTGGCGTCGAAGGTGAATTCGCTGGCAGATCTAGGCTCATCAAACTAACCCTTTTGTATTACAATGTCAGGGTGCAAACCGAAATGTGTTGTTCTATGTGTCAAACTTTGCTTGTAAGAAAGAAAAAACGCAAATAACGACCGAAAACAAAATCCCACTGTTTTCCGTCCTCTTTTGTTTTGTTATTAATGCTTGCGAATAAGTTTATTAAAATATGGAAAAGGTCCTGGGCTCTGAAGAGTTTCCAAAATTAATAGAATCCATTAATTTGGAACACTTTTAATTACTCGTATTGCACTTACTCCCGCAGTCGATTCATTCCATTGCATTATTGACAGATACGGGTATTACCCGGGAAGAAATTTAATTCCCACAGCTCTAAATTCAATAGTACGAATCACCAATATTAAGACTAAAACGAGCTCGTAGGTGTCTGTAATAAATTCAAACAAAACCCCTCCCTCTGTTCTGCCCCCTGAACATTTTCTTAAGGAATATTTCTGAGTTCAGACGTTGGCCCATCAATCTCCAAGATTAATTTATGCAACATCCCAAACCGAGATACCGCTAAGAAATCATAATACGCATGCGCGAAATCCAGCGAACTTTCACCAAACAGCTGTCAGCGTTTTCGGATCCTCACCGTGAATTTTTTAAGCATATACACTTTTTATGATGGGGATTATTAATTGATTATAATGATTATATGAAAGAGTTGTCAGGGAATCTTTGGTTAGGGAACCAGGCTTAGATGTTACTTCTCGAACACCT